TCCAGTTTGAACAAATAAACACCCTCGTGTAAATATTTTCTTATCATCTAACTTATGTATCTCTCACTTGAACTCGTTTTATTGACAGTTTGCTAACACATGTTGCCATAACATGTACACTCCAGGGGAGGGAGGGCCGGCACCCACCCTCTCCTGCGGCCCGCTACGCCAACCACACCTTCACAACCCAATTATCACAGTTTAAGTTAAAAATGCTGCACATGTATTGACAAATTACTGCGTTGTGTCCATTCAAAAGAAGGTGGTTGTAGATCCCCTGGTGTACTCACCTAGTTGTGGTTGCGGGGGTTGAGTTTCGGCTCATTGGTCCCGCCTCTCAACCGTCAATCTATTGGTGTACGCACTTACGAACCTGTACATCTTTTCTCAATCTTTGGTGGCTTTGTTTACAATTATTAAACAGTTTAATGAGCTCCAAAGTACCAGGAGGCTGTTTATAACAATAACATCTGTTGATTGGGAAGTTTTCATGCTTGTAAACTGTTTAATAAATGTAACTGTATAAAATATAGTTTTAATAACAGTTACGCAAGTTTAATAAATGTAACTTCGTAACTGCTTTGTGAATCTGGGGCCAGATTCCTGAGCTTCTCGAGCTCTGTCATAAGGTGTATGGAGTGTAGGATGTTTGTGATGATAAAGTAAAATCTTTACTGCATTTTTTGTTGTTAATTGATGAAAGTAGAGATGTAACAGATAGAACGCTACATCCAGTTTGTATGTGTAGTGTTGACCAAGAGTTTGTGCAATTTATATCAATAAAAGAACAGATGATGAATACTTGATGAGTATGAGGTGGTGCTTGTTTGCCAGATTAGACGGTTGGGGGGCGTGTGTGTGTCTGCCCGGCTGTGCTGACGTGGCGTTCACGATGGGGCTCAGTCTGTGGGCCTCGAATTTTCTGTACGGGCTGGGTACCCTGAGATAGCGCTGGTGTGTGATGTGCTTTCTGTCCCTGTGATGGATATTTATGGAGTCGAGTTGGTGACAGCCCGTCGGGCGATCGTGAAGTTCACGGAGGAGTTGGCGTATCGGGAATTTCTCCGACGTTACGAGGAGCGGACCATTTCCCTGCCGGATGGTGCGGGCACTGTGACCCTCTCTGATCGGAGTGGTGCCCTCACTTACGTCAGTGTACATGGGGCTCCCCTGGAGTTTCCAGAGGGTCTGCTACGGTGGTACTTCGGTCGATTTGGTGCCGGAGTTAGTGTGCGGTTGAACGTGGTGTCTTCCAGTCCGCTCAAGGGTGTGAGGACTAATATTCGCACCCTGGGCATGCGGCTCCGGACTGACATTGTGTCCTCTGTGCGCCTTATGGGTTACAACGTTCGGGTGTTTTACACCTGCCAACCTCGGACATATTATCGTTGTGGCCTCTTGGGCCATCAGGCTGTTGACTGTTCTGCGCCTGCCGTTGCGCCCGTGAACCTCTTCAGTGAGGAAGATTTTCCACCGCTTCCTGTGGAGGAGGCTTCGGATGTCGACGTCTCTTCCGCCGTGTGGATGTGCCCCCTGTGTCGACTGTTGCGCCGCCTGTTGCGCCCCCTGTTGTTGTCGCCTCTCCTCCGGAGGTTGTGTCGTTGCCTGGTGATCGTCCTGCTCCGGTTGGTGTCCCTGGGATTCTTCTGCCTGCCTTCTGCTCGAATCCCCTGTCTTCCAGTTCTGCCTCTGCTGCGTCTTAACCGGTACCTGCACCCTCGCCGTCTGTTCCGGCTGTGCTGGGTACTGGGGTGGATCCGGCGCTTCCTCCCGTTCCTGGTCTGGTGCCCCATGTGGTTGAGGATGCTGCCGTTCTGCAACGTGCATCGGTTTGCCCGACTTGTGGTGCACGTGTCTCTGGGTCAGCCTCCGGGTCTGATGATGTGCAGTCAGAGCCTAAGCGTTCCCGGCGTTCATCTGCTGTATGGGCTGACGTTGGCGACTTCGACGATTGTGGAACTTCCAGCGACGGCGGGGAGGCTCCGGTTGTGTTGCATACTACGGTGGTGGCAGAGGTGCATCTGCCTGAGGATGCCGGTGTCGGGGGTTTCGGCCTCCACTTCTGGCCTGATGTCTGCGGATCCTGCTTCGGGTGCGTCGCCTGCGTCGGATGGCTCCGGTTCTTCGTGGGGGGGTAGTTTCCCCTAATGAGGTTCGTGGTGAGCGGAGTGACCTGGTGGTGGTGTTGAAAAAGGCTGCTCGCTCTGGGGGTTCTGTAGCCCCTTCCTCGTTCCCCGTTTCATCAGCGGCGGTCTCGACGCTTCTTCCGTCTCCGGCCGTCTCTTCAGTGTCACCTGCTGTCTCGGTGGAGGTGTTACCATCTCGTCGATCGTCCCATGCTTCTGAGCGTACGGCGGCACGGCCGTCTCGGCAGGCCTCGTACGCTTCTTCGGTGTCGTTTGCTTCCTCGAAGGGTGTGGTTTGCGCTCCCCAGCCTCGTTATGCGACTTGCGTCAGTGATCTTAAGGATTGGCCCATGCCGCCTGATCTGGAGATTCCTGAGTTTATGCTGGCCCCACGGCGGCAGGGGATTCTCAACCCAACCGACTTGGAAGATTTGATTTGGGAGGCTTGGGAAGATTTGGGATTTGGGGATTTACTTGATGGAGGTCACCAACTGACGGAGGTCACTAGTTGATGGAGGTCACCAACTGACGGAGGTCACCAACTGACGGAGGTCACCAACTGACAGAGGTCACCAACTGACGGAGGTCATCAACTGACAGAGGTCACCAACTGACTGAGGTCACCGGTTGACGGAGGTCACCAACTGACGGACGTCACCGGTTGACGGAGGTCACCAACTGACAGAGGTCACCAACTGACAGAAGTCACCAACTGACGGAGGTCACCAACTGACGAAGATAATATTGCCTCATCTGTGAACATGAGTAATGTAGTTCACCCGGGTGGGTGGTGAAGTGTGTGTGATGACCCAGTCACCCCGCCCTAGTGGCACCCACATTAACCAGTTGGTGTTGATGTAAAGTACATCATCATCACTACAAGTGGCCTGAAGAGTTTATAATCATTAAGACGCCTCACACCAGCGGTGTACTATTGATATTCTTGATACACATACACTGTATATTCATGAATGATTACACAATACACCATGAACCTGGAGCGTCCGGAGTGTCTTCACCGCTATGCTTACACTCTACACTGATTGCGAGAAATAACGCATCATACATACTGCCTGACTAAGAGCTCCACACAATTATACAGCCTTAACACGAAATGAAAGCTGATGATCTTTGTTCATGTGAACTACACTAACTTCAAGGGTGAACTAGACTCATCTAGGAGCACATGGATATATTCGAATCAGTTTGGCTATCTAGGTCTAATTCCCTGCCTGGGAATCGAACTCTGGTACAGTTTATTGTAAGCTTACGTATTCTCAATCATCGAGCTTGCCAAATTACTCTATTCCACTTTAATGCATGAACTGATGGGGTGAGAGAGAAGGAATGAGTGGCGTAAAACAGGTTTGAATATATATTCTCGTAGAACTAGATAAAATCCCCCAAATCATCTTTGTTGTGCAGTACGTTGCAGACCTACCTAAGAGATCATCAGGTACTGTGTTACCTTACCTCATATTGTTCCTTGTACACTCATGACTGTAAAATGGCCTTGACGCGTTCGCCAGTTGAGAACAAATGGTCATTAAGTTTAGAAACACCAGTACAGCTGACCACAGTGGTCACTTGGGCTACCGTCATGATGGATGGAATCATAACCTGATTCCTGTTACCTGGTCAGGACTATACTGAGGTCCTGGTCATCTGGTGAACACTTACACATATACGGGTCTGTGGAAGCTGGCTTAGATCACACAATGACACATACACGGGTCTGTGTAGGCTGCCTTAGATCACACAAGGACACATACACGGGTCTGTGGAGGCTGCCTTAGATCACACAAGGACACACACACGGGTCTGTGTAGGCTGCCTTAGATCACACAATGACACATACACGGGTCTGTGTAGGCTGCCTTAGATCACACAAGGACACATACACGGGTCTGTGTAGGCTGCCTTAGATCACACAAGGACACATACACGGATCTGTGGAGGCTGCCTTAGATAACACAATGACACATACACGGGTCTGTGTAGGCTGGCTTAGATCACACAATGACATATACACGGGTCTGTGTAGGCTGGCTTAGATCACACAAGGACACATACACGGGTCTGTGTAGGCTGGCTTAGATCACACAAGGACACATACACGGGTCTGTGTAGGCTGCCTTAGATCACACAATGACACATACATGGGTCTGTGGAGGCTGCCTTAGATCACACAATGACACATACACGGGTCTGTGGAGGCTGCCTTAGATCACACAATGACACATACACGGGTCTGTGTAGGCTGCCTTAGATCACACAATGACTATTGTGTGATCTAAGGCATTATTTACTATTAATTTATTATTTACTATTATAAAATAAACAAGTCCCCACTCTGAGCGCGTTTTCTTTCAACCACAGAAATAGCTAGTGTCTTGCAAAAGACGGACAGCAGTGAACACTAGCCAGCGCATAGGTACATACGAAAGCGTTCGTGTATGTAAACTTGTTTGTGAACGAACTGATTTTTTGTATACTGAACCGTCGGTATCCATAACGCTTATAAACAATTCAACCTGTCCCCAGTTTGGATAGTTTAAATAGCGAACGCACACCAGCGAATAACGATCACAATAAAACCATCGCGTTTATGTTGAGAATGATAAGAGCTTCAAAAGTGTTTGTTGCGTTATGGTGTAGATAGAGGAAGGGACAAAATAAAGTTAGACAGTTTTAATATGTAGATAGAGGAGCGGCGACTAAAACAGAGTGGTGCGCTAGAGGGAGACTTGCCGCACGGTGGGGCGGGAGGTTGTGTTTACGGCGTCAGCTGATCCTTGGTGTTGTCTGTGTTGGGCTGGTGGTGGCGCCAGGTATAAATGTGGCGCGGGGCACTTGTCCCCTAGTTTGTTGCTTAATTATACATATTCAGCCAGTGCTTTGACTATTTAATATTTTTCCTGTAACGAGAGGTCACCTCCTCCTAATATATGTTCGATGATAAAGGGTATTTTTAGTGCGATAAATACTTGTTTGAAGTTTACTCTGGCACTGATGTCGGAAACGGTGAAGGAGGTAGTGTTTTGATTGTCTCAGGCACCTGCCACTGGATGCAGAGTTCGTTGGTGTCTGGTCTGTACTTAGAGCTGTGCATTTAATTTATTCACAAGGGGATACAATGGGTTGGTGAGAGTACATAACATTTATATTTTTACATTTATACAACGCCACAAACAACGCTTTGAGCTTTAAGGGCAGGTCCTTAATCTTACCTCAGGTAAGGTGAAGAGGTACAGTGTAGCAAGGTTAGTGTAGTATAGGTTGTATATCAACGTGTACCACAATATAAATTGACAGAAGTGATTACACTGGTAAAGATATATGTCTTAACTACTGATATTGGGGAAGAGATGAGTAAGTACTGTACAAGATACTTACAGTGGGAGTTTGAAGCACAAGGTAGAAAACTATTAGAATGAAGAAGCAAAATCAGAAATATTCAGGCACAGGCGGGAGTGGAGAGGAGAGAGATAATGTATGAGAGAAGTCAAACCATGCAACACTACATGTATGTGAGTCAAAACACCCATTTCACTTATGGTAAAAGGAGAAATGCTTGGAGTGACTCTGTGTACATGCGGCTCAGGCTTGGGTACAAATATTACTGGGAATATGGGATAGATGTTCATGGTAATGACACGAAGTGTAAACTATGTGGTATGTTAAGGTCTCACACCCTTGCCCATTATATTCTTGATTGTCCATTGATTAATGTATACAGAAACACTGAGATAAGGACTGTTCCTGAACAAATAGCCTGGATGTGTCACAACGGAAAGGTTGATGATATTCTTGAGAGATATAAGAATTTTGCACCAAGATTGTAATATTTTGTTGAATTATCTGCAGGTGTCTTGCAAATTGTCTATACAGTATACCTAGGCCATAAAAGTATTTGTGTGTACGTCTGACACCATACTACTTGTGAAGGAGGAAATGTATATGTTTACCTCTCAGAATGTTTGGTAATATGTTTATTGTTTGTGATGTGTGTCTATGTATATATTAACACGTTGTACTGAATGGGGTGAGAATAGCTTGAGCTACCTCATCCCTTTGTGTGTATTTTACCTCAATAAACTTATTTCAATTTCAATTTCAATTTCAATTAGAATGAAATTAGGTACTTTTTGGTTTTACTTTTGAATAAGGCATAGGTTAGACAATTTTTTAATTCATCAGGGAGTGACTTCCATAGACTAGGTCCTTTTATTTGCATGGAGTGTTTGGACAGATTTACTCTGACTGGGGATATCAAAGAGATATTTATTTCTGGTGTGGTGATTATGTGTTCTATTACATCTGTCAAGGAAATGTTTCAGATCAAGATTTAGCAGCATTTAGGAACAAGGTTTTGTACATGTATCACATGAGAATGTGCGGAGTGAGTATATGTTTAGCATGTTAAGGGACTTAACCAGAGGGGCTGTGTGTTGTCTGAAGACAGAGTTTGTTACAGTTCTCATAGCAGATATTTGCTGAATGATGATGGGCTTGAGGTAATTTGCAGTGGTTGAACCCCATACATAGATGCCATACATAAAATAGGGATAGATTAACACAGAATGAGAGGAGAGCAGAGTGGGGAATATAATATCTGATTTTAGAAAGTATACCGACCGTTTTTTGAGATTTGTTTGGCTGTGTGTTGTATGTTGGTGCTGAAATTCAGTCTTGTCTATGGCCTTCAGTCTATGTCAGTCTTCAGTCTATGGCCTAAGCCATACAACTTCACCGTTGTTTTCCCTGCCAATCATCTTATGTCATGGTTGTTACATTGAATGTAAATTTTACTACAATGAGCCTACAAATAATCCTCAAATTATGCTAAAGTGTACCTTTAATAATCCTCAAATTTCACTGTAATGTATATAATAATTCTCTTCAAATTTTCTTACAATGTACCTGTTAACATTTTTAAATTTTGCAACAAATTACTTACTTAAATTTATCTGTTAGATTAAGGACCTGCCTGAAATGCTATGCTTGCTAGTGCCTTTACAAGAATGTAAAATCATCTATGCTATGCACTCTCATAAACCCAATGAACCTTCTTGTATATAAATAAAAAAATAAATAAATAAATTTTCTATGTATAGGCCAAGGAACTTTTCATCATTTTTCAAATCAAACAAAATCAAAATGTTTAGTCAGGTAAAAGTACATACTGTACATAGAAGATGAGTTACAAACATAATGTATTTATAGATAGAGCTAGTACATACAATACCTGAAGCCACTAATAAACAGTGTTTTGGGCAAGGTGTGGGGAAAAACATTTAGACTAAAGCTTAATACTAATTGAGATTAAAGTATGAATTGTGTAGAAAAAGGAAAAAAAAGGGGGGGGGGTCACCCTGGCAGAAATCAGTAATTTTACAACTTGGTCAACATAATTGAGATAAGACTAGATGAGTAATAGACCATTTTATTACTCATGTTAACATTGTCTATCTGAAGTTGAATTTGATTTGATAATTTACTTCCAAATAAAATGTATTAGGGCTTTTCTATGTTTAGTGTGAATTTGTTGGTTGACATGATGAAATTCTAGATTACCATCAAGGAGACTATCAAAGAATAGGAGAGGAACTACAAACCATCACCTGGAGGGAGCTGATAGGCGAACATGGCATGGCGTGGTAGCTAAATGATTGTGGGATTATGCTACCGGACTGACACAGCAGCGGCAGAGGAAATTGCGGATCTGCATAATGTGATCAACGTGGCATCTGAAACCTGAACCCTAGTAATGGGGGTACCTGCTCAACTTTTGAGCAGGTATCCATCAAAGCCAAATTTGCATTTATCAGAGTAAAATGCCATCATACGATGTTTAAATATCATTATGGCACAATGATATGCCAGCATGCCATATTAATACTGTATACATTATCCACATTCATTCGTTATACTGCACATGTTTGAGCAATAAAACAAGGACACTTAGTAGGTGCCACTTCTCTTGTTTTCAAGTTTACAACATTTGATTTTCATAAAAATTAATACTGTAGCTTTGTTTCAAATAACACTTCACTCATTCTTATATGTTGTGTGTCAGTACAATGGGGCCTCGACTTACGATGCTAATCCGTTCCCAGAGACGGATCGTAAGTCGAAGCGATTTTTCCAATAAGAAATAAAGTGAATTGAATTAATCCGTTCCCCACCCTCCAAAATATTAACATACAAATACATTTTATACTGAATACAATGTTTTTTCTAAATACAATACAGTACCAAAGTTTCTCTTACCTTTATGGAGGGCTCTTGATGGCGTATGGAAGATGGTGATGAGGGGGGAGGAGGAGAGTTGTTACTGTTTAGAAGGGGAGTCCCCTTTCATTATCACATCAGGCAGTGATGTTTTCTCTGGGGTACTCTCTCTCCTATGTTTTGCCTGAATACCACTAGGACCTGGTTGTGGTTCAGTGCTTGTTTGTCTCACTACAAATTTGTCAAGAGACATTTGTTTTTCCCTTCGTTTTAATATTTGTCTGTAATGATGTATCAGTGTCATTGAATAGGTTAAGGCAACGACCTACTGCAGCTTGATTTGGGTGAGTCGTTTCAGCAAAGGTTTGCAATTCTTCCCATGCTGCACACATTTTCTTAATTGTTGAGGAAAAGACATTCAGTACTTTTGTTTCTGCTCTATGGTCATCCTTACATGGGTTTTCATATGTTGAGCCTTACCACTGACTTTCCTGGGACTCATGGTGTGATATATAATAATTACTTTAATGTTCAAAATGCAAAAAATCACCACAAAAGCAGAATTTCTTATAGGCGTGATTGTCACTAAGAGGGCAGCTGTAGTAAACTGAGGCAGATCGGCCACGTGACCGGGAACCACGCGCTCGGTCGACCCGAACATGTACCAACAAGTATCGGAAGTCGACGACACCATCGGATGTCGAGTCGCATTTTTCGATGAAATTTACATCATAACTCGAAATTATTGTAAGTAGGGGCAATCGTATTTCGAGGTGCCACTGTATTTTCTTTTAATGTGAACAGATACATCATTTGAAACATTTGCCTTAAGTTATTAGTATAGCTTAACTAGATACTTAAAGATTATTTCATTTGAGAAGGTTGGCCTACAGCTTTCTTGTCTTATCTATCTATCTCCTCAGAGTAGCATGTACCTGAACATGGCTGGTGGCAGTGTGATTCATGAGGTGCGGCAAACCCTCGATAATCTGGGTTACCGTCAGCCTCTCCCTCCAGATGCCCTGCCTCTTGTCCAGCATCTCCTGGATGACCTTTTATGCTGCACAAAAGACCTCAAGGAGACTAAGGAAAATCTTGCTTACACACAGAAGGTAAGTTGGGTATTGATTTTGTAACCTGTGCTTCAAATTCATTACAACAAAATTGTATCAGTGTGTTATATATATATATAGGGAACATAAGAACAAAGGTAACTGCAAGAGGCCTATTGGTCCATACGAGGCAGCTCCTATTTATAACCACCCAATCCCACTTATATACATGTCCAACCCACGTTTGAAACAATCGAAGGACCCCACCTCCATCACGTTACACGGTAATTGGTTACACAAATCAACAATCCTGTTACTGAACCAGTATTTACTCAAGTCTTTCCTAAATCTAAACGTATCTAATTTATACCCATTTTTTCATGATCTGTCATGTGTTGATACTTTTAATACCCTTATTAATATCCCTTTTGTTATGTCCATTCATCCACTTGTAAATCTCTATCATGTCACCACTAACTCTTCGCCTTTCCAGTGAATGCAATTTAAGCTTTGTTAATCTCTATTCATATGACAGATTTCTAATTTGGGGAATTAACTTTGTCATCCTACGCTGGACATGTTCAAGTGAATTTATATCCATTTTATAGTACAGTGAGCAAAACTGAACTGCATAATCTAAATGGGACCTAACCAGAGCAAGATATAGCTGAAGAACAACACCAGTTGTCTTCTTACTAACGCTTCGATTAATAAATACCAGTGTCCTATTTGCTTTATTACGAACATTCATATGTTGATCTCTTGGTTTTAAATTCTTACTAATCATAACTCACAGATCCCTTTCCTAATCCGACTTCGCAATCTCAACACCATCTCGCTCGTATCTTGTAACTCTATCATCATTACCTAGCCTCAAGACTTTACATTTATCAGCATTAAACTGCATCTGCCAATCTTTGACCATGTCAAAACCCTATTTAGATCTACTTGAAGTGACAGTGAGTCGTCTTCCGTGTTTATTTCTCTACCGATTTTTATATCATTGGGAAACTTGCAAATGTTGCTACTCAAATCTGAATCTAAATCACTTATATATATATTATAAACAACAAAGGTCCCAGGGCAGAGCCTTGAGGCACTCCACTTACAACATTTTCCCACTCTGACTTAACCCCCATTTATACTATGTTTTCTTTGGTATAGCCATGCCCTAATCCAAGTTAATACAGCACCCCCAATACCATGAGCCTCTATCTTTTTAATCAGTCTTTCATGTGGCACTGTATCAAAAGCTTTGCCAAAGTCAAGGTACACAACATCACAATCCTTACCACTATCAACTGCTTCAACTATGCTGGAATAAAAAGATATCACATTTGTTAAACATGAACGATCATTTATAACACCATGTTGAGAATCATTTATTAATTTATGTTTTTCAAGATGAAGACGAATTGTATTTGCAGTTAGTGATTCAAGTAACTTTCCCCAATAGACGTTAGGGTAATTGTCCGATAGTTTGACGCAAATGATCTATCTCCTTTCTTAAAAGTTGGTACCACATTAGCAACCTTCCATGACTCTGGCACTCTGCCTGACTCTGTTGATTTATTAAATATGGGTAGACAGTGGCTCGCAAAGCTCCTCTTTGCATTCTTTAGGCACCCTGGCAAACACTTCATCCGGCCCTGGGGATTTGTTTGGTTTGAGTTTTACCATTTGTTTAATTACATCCTCCCTGGTAACTGCTAAACTAGTCAACCTGTCCTTGTCCCCACCCACATAGACTTGCTCGGCTGAAGGCATATTGTTAAGTTCCGCTTTAGTAAATACAGAGATAAAATATTAAAAAAAAAAATACTACTCATCTCTTCGACATTATCCGTTATCTAACCTGTCTCGGTTTTTAATGGATCTATCCTTTCCCTAATCTTTGTTCGATATAACTGAAAAATTTGTCTTTGCTTGCCCTGCTATGCAAACTTCATAGTTTCTTTTTGCTCTCCTTATCTCTTTATTAACATTTCTAACCAGTTGTACGAATTCCTGTTCTAAACTGGCTTTCCCATTCTTAATTCTTTTGTACCACGCTCTCTTTTTAACTATAAGGTTCTTCAGATCCTTTGTTATCTACTTTGGGTCATTAGTATTTGATCTATTCAATTTGTATGGTACTGTATACTACGTTCCTGTGCTTTGCTTAGAATATTTTTAAATAAGTTATATTTTGAATCCACATCGAAATCCCTTTTTACGTCACCTATCGCTGGGGTCACGTCTCGCTCCAAGATCTGCCCACCTCCCCATGCCCAAGACTTTCCAATGTATTTGACCCAAAAAAATTCTTAGGCTACTAAAATCAGCTTTTTGAAAATCTGGCACTTTAACAGAATTTTCGTCTACAGATCTATTCCATTCTATGCTAAATCTGATTTCTTTGTGATCACTGTTCTCCTAGCTCACTTCCTATTTCGATGTCATTAAATTGTGTTTTCCTGTTAGTTAACACTAAATCTAAAATATTATTTTTCCGCGTTGGTTCCTTAATGTGTTGCCTAAGAAAGCAATCATCAATTAATTCTAGAACATCTTCTGCTTCAATATACCCTGTTCTGTTAAACCAGTTTATTCCACTAAAATTAAAGTCACCCATGACACAAATACTGCTAGACCTAGATGCTCTAGATATTTCATCCCATAGGTGCTTTGCTTCCATCCTGTCTTAAGTTTGGTGGCCTGTATATAACTCCTATTATAAGATTATTTGATTTTTCGTTCAATTCTATCCAAATAGTTTCTGTGTGTGGCTCAGTTTTGATTCCCTCTTTGAGACTACATTTCAAATTTTCCCTAACATATATGGCTACTCCACCTCGACATGTAATATATCTATGTGTGAAATAGTTTAAATCCAGTTATTTGATATTCAGCTAATAGTTCTCTGTTTTCTACATTCATCCACATTTTGGTAAGTGCAATAATATCTATTTTTTCTATGCAGACAAGAGCATTTAAATCATTTATTTTGTTTCTTAGACTTCTACTGTTAGTGTAATATACCCTAAGTGTATAGTTATTTTGAGACCCTTCTCTTTCCCTGATCATTTTGCCAATTTGTTTCCCCCACAAACACATACTTTTATTACCTCCTTTCTCCATATCAATTCCCATACCACTATCTACTAACAGTTTAAACCCAAACCCAAACCCAAACAAAGGCCTCTAACCACTAGTTCCAACGAATTCGCAACAACCACCACCCTACCACCCCACCCCTTGATAGATGCACCCCCATCCCGAGTAGAAAAGGTGTATGAAACAAAGGTGTATGAGATGAACCTCAAAGGTGTATGAATACTGTATATATATGAATTTATCATAAATATTTTGAAGGAAAATATATAATATATATATATATATATATACAGTATATATATATATATAAGTTTGTGAGGGTACCACCTCTGGTGCCAATGTGGCGACCCATAGCCTCGGAGAAGAAAATAAAAAGTATTCAGAGACCTTGTGGTTTCTCACTGAACACTAATATTATCTTCTCCTACCACCCCCATTCTTTTGTATGTACACATATATATTTACTTTATTTGAACTTTGTTACAAAAAAGGAGTTACATATGGGTTACGAAGATGGTTATCATAGGTTGTAGAGTTGTTCCAGCTCTTCAGATGGCGGGCATGAACCCTGGATGCAGTGCGCATTTCCCCTCTGTATCGCCACACTGAGGCGCTGGAAAAGAAAGCTTGCAGCTCTTGGGTCCCTTGTTATTTCAATGAGCCTAGAACCCAGTTCCTTAAAAAAACTGGTAGCACTTTTACCCAGGCGCCGAGTGTCTCAGAAGCAATGGGGACAAAATTGTAGTGGTGATCCAGTTCTCTATACTTACGGGATTTGGCTGCTTCCCTGTGGGTGGCAGCGCCACCTGGTTGTGCAACACTGAGGTTAATGTACGTGTTAGCCAGGGTTGATACGCACGTGTAGTCCCATACCAACTGCTTGCCATTCTTCCAGGGGTTCACTGTGATACCATCCGGGCGACCAATAAGAGCATCAGAGTTACGGGGCGTTAGGTAACGGGGCTCTCTTTCAGCTGGGCATCCAGCTGTGGTGAGGCTCCTCTTGATGATGTCGTTAACTTCACTGTGCCTCGAGTGCCATCCCCCTGTGCTTTGGCAGAGTAGGCCATGGTGGCCGTACCTGTCAGCCACCACCTCGCCGCAAATACACCTATATCTGGTGTGGATTGGGGCAGCAAGGCGGTGGGCCACAGCAATTCGGAGGGCGTGTGGTGTGAGACACGTGCCAGTTGCCGACATTGGGGTTGCTAACAGGAAATCCCCTGCATGTGGTGCTGCTACTGCTGTGAGGCGAGCAATGTCGTGTTGTGTTGTTGCAGCACCCAGGCACTCTGCAGCAACTTGGTCTACAATGGGGCCATCCCAGCTGGATTGCTTGTGGGCTTTTTGGGATGGTGGTTGATATTCAGATTTATATATATATATATATATATAATATATATATATATATATATATATATATATATATATATATATATATATATATATATATATATATATATATATATATATATATATATATTAGTATATTTTGGTAGCAGTCTTTCCTGTAGACATATAGTATTAATTATGACCGAAAAAGTAAGATTAATAATTCTAACACGAATTTTCTCAATCTTTCGTACATTTCTTTTCACTGTTGGAGGTAAATCAAAAATCAATTCTCCAAAATTCAATTATATTTCTAGTCTGACGCGACACTTGAGCGCGTTTCGTAAAACTTATTACATTTTCAAAGACTTTAGTTAACACATACACAACTGAATAGAACTTACACATCTCCGGTTTTGTTTATATCTACATTTGAGTGAGGTGGATGGGGTGAGGTGGTATTTAATAAGGTATTAATTTCATCAACACAAGCCAGAACATGAAACAATGGGTATTGAATAGAAGTGATTGTAGAAAGCCTATTGGTCCATATTTCTTGATGCTTCTATATTGGAGCGGAGTCTTGAGGTGGGTAGAATATAGTTGTGCATTAATTGGCTGGTGTTGACTTC